TTGCTTCTAAAGGTTTTGAGTTACAGTTTGGTGTAGTTGTTAGGAGCATGGACTCTAATCTGGGAGAACGGGGTTTGATTCCCCATTCCTCTACTTGCAGCTGATGGTGTGACCTTGGGTCAATCACAAGTTCTTTCAGAGCTGTTCTCTCAAGAGCAGTCCTTGAAAGAGCTCTCTCAGCCCCACCTACCTCACAGGGTGTCTGTTTTTAAATGGTAAGCGGATCTGCATAAACAAGATTGGGGGAGGACATTCAGATCAGAGTCCTTTTAAAATTTTCTTTTGCTGTGTGCCTTTGGCCTAATATGCTAATGAGCTGTGCTGTCAGGGGTGTGGCCTAATATTCTAATGAATTTCTGCTGCTGGGTGTGGCCTATTATGCTAATGAGCTCCTGCTGGGCTTTTTCTACAAAAGAAGCCCTGCAACTGACTAATAACAGACCCATGTGAGTTGCATCGATTAAGACCAACCACTAACTATAAATGTATAAATAAGATATATAAATATACAAAAATATAAATAAGAACATGTTGACATATTACGGGTTACAGTCAGGAGCTATGTTCATCCTCAATGAAACACCCATTTCCAATTTACTCACAATATTGAGATCCTGAGTGTAATTCTTGGTTGTTTTCAAGCCTGGGCAATCTTCAACTTCCTTGTAATTCTCAAAGGACAGATTATCCTTTACAAAAACATGATTTTTCCTCTTGTTCCTTGTTTCCTTGCTTTCTTTCTCTGCCTTGGTGAGCAAACCTTCTTTATCTGATGAACAACAGTTGAGCCCTGGTGTGTCACTCCATTCTGAAGTGGGGGGATGTACAAACCGCTCCTGTGTCTTACTCTGAATGGCTTTATTATCAAAGGCATTCATGTTGCTCTCACGCCTTAATTTTACCTCCTGGTAAAGCTGGAAAGGAAACAAAAAGCCCCCTATTAGACTACATGATCTTACATGGCTGATGAACAAAGGACTGTATTTATGTTCACTTTGAGTTTGTGTCACCAGACTTCTAAGTTTGGACTCACCAGGGGACTGATAGATCTGAAACTTATTTTTAGAAAGAGATGTCAAGTCACACGTTATAACAGTGATGATGGGGTCATTCTTCTCACAGGATACAAAGGAAGTACCGCAGTTCCAAAAATGCTGACTGTGTTTTGAGTGTGTGTAGCGTAGCATACTGGGAGCAGGCCTGAGAAGGGTTCCACAGAAGCCCTGACACTGTACCACACTAGGTCTGAAATGAAGTATGCCCAGTCACTCAGCTCTGCTGTACCTGCAAATCATCAGGGCAAACACTTTTGGATCAGTATTTAAAACTCTCACACGTGAAGCTGGGGATTCAACATGGGACCTTCTGCATGTGAAACAGATGCTGTCCCAGTGAGCTACAGCCTAGTCCTGAAAGTCACAGCCCCACCTCTCATATCAGCTCTACCCAGGGGTCATTTCGTAGAAATCTTATTCCAGCATCAGCCATTTGAAAATAAGAATCCTTATTGCCTGAGACTGAGGTTTGAATCTTTGCCTGCTGGTCTTCTGATCTATTGAGTAGATTGAGTCTGACTTTATTGATTTTATTTTATATGTTATGCTTCGTAGACAAAAAAAAATAGCAGACTAAAAATTCCATCAAATAAATGAGTAGAAATAACCAAACAAATACAGCACTGCCACTAGAATTAAACTCTGTACATCATCTGCCAAAGTACACTGTGGAAATGACAACGAGAGCACCAGATGCTCTCAAGCATTCATGTTTTCCTAGCCACATAAAATAAAGCGTCCTGTCACTACCCTTATCTATGCATACTGCTTGTTTATTAAAGAGGTAGTGAATACTGAGTGGGGGAAAGGACAGCAAGTGGGTGAAAAAAGAAGGGAGAAAGCTGTGGTCAAACATTTAATATTACATTAGAAAGAAAAGAAGGGCCAGCTGGTTATCAAAGGTACCAAGAACAGGGCAACAAGCAATCACCTTATATTTCTAGAAATATGCACTAGACTGTACATACTAGCAAATACAATAAGGGAGCTTTAGCAAAGGAACAAGCCATCTAAGAAGGCTGGAGATGTTCTTTCCTTGCAAGCTTTAACAGAAGACTGAAGAGCCATCTATCAAGAATGTTCTAAGAATAAGACAAAGGGAAGTGATGAAGCTTAATATCAGAGCCAGGGGTGGTCCTAAGCAGTGTTCCCTCTAAACTGAGTTAGTGTGAGCTAGCTCACAGTTTTTTTAGCCTCCGGCTCACACATTTTTGTCTTAGCTTAGGAAGGATAGCTCCAGAGCAAACTAATTTATGCAGTAGCCAAATGGCTCGCTCACAACTTTAATGCCAGTAGCTCCCAAAGTAGAATTTTTGCTCATAGGACTCCACATCTTAGAGGGAGCATTGGTCCTAGGCACAGGAAACCTGGGGCAGCTGCCCTGGGCTCCACACTGGGGGGAAGACTGCTTCTGCAGCCAGCTACCCCAGCAGGGAGGTGACCACTAGCCAGCCAAGCCACAAAGCTGCCCATGTGGCATGGGGAGAAGGCAGCTAGCTGACCAAGCCCTGAAGCTGCCCGCATAGTGCTGAGACCCCTGGCCAAGACCCAAAGCCAGCCAGCCAAGACCCAAAGCCACCCACGCAGGAGAGGAGGAGGCACCTGGCTAGGATGGCTCTTGCTTCCTCCTTTCCTCCTTTGGAAGGTAGGGCCATGGGTGGGCTACCCCACAGTAATTCAGGTGTCCCATCCACTAGTTCTGCCCAGGCCCCAGAATCACTAAGCCCACCTTTGGGCACAGTATATGTTTCCACACAGAAAATTCCCAGTACTGTCCCTGATATATTTTATTAAAGCATTTCAGGCCTTAATGCTCACAGAGACCTCTGCTTGAGACCTTAGAGAATGGTTACCCAACACACTGCTAGGCTGAATGAACCAGCAGTATGACTCAATATTGCAGCTTCGTGCATTCATTCTGCAGCCTGGAAAGGGTTGGGCATGATTGCTGATACCTACCCAAACTAAGGTTTGTTCACAGCCTTTGACTTTTGCTTAACGGCCCCATTCATACGAGGCAGTTTGGGCCGGGAGCGGGCCGGATTGGAGGCGCATCAGACGGGCGCGATCCCACGGCAACATCTGCCTGGCGTCGCGCTCCCGCCTCCAACCCGGCCCTTCCCCCGATGAAATTGTTATATTTAAATCCCTGTAACCAATCCCTGACAATATGTTGGCTGCTGCATTTTAGGCCAAAAGAAGTCCAGCCAGTTTTCAAATGTGGAACTGTTTTTAGTGCACTACTGTAATCTAACTTGGTGTTAGATTGGTGTTCAGAGTATCACTTTTAAATAATAAACAAAGCTGGAGGCCAGGACCAGTAGATAAAAGAAATGTTGATTGGTGAGAGGGAAGGAGAGAAAGAGGAGAGGACATGGGGGCTGCAAGGAGCAGAGAAAGATAAAATAGGATAAGGAAGTGGATACAGAGCTAAATGAAGTGACCTCAGCAAAGCCCTTGCAGGTTCCCTGCTTGCCAGTATATCTAATTCTCAATATCACAGATTACTCTTGTCTTAAATTGCATATGAAGATTATGAAACTATCTATAAATATAGACATTAGAAAGACTGTAACCAAAATGATGTACAGATGGTACTATACCACACCAAAATTATTCAAAATGACTTCAGACTACACACTGTGTTGAAGATGTACGCACAGGAATGGAGTTTCGGCTAGCTTCTAAGTTGGCCACTCCCAGCAGGAACTCATTAGCATATTAGGCCACACCCAACAGCAGAAACTCATTCGGATTGGCTACAATTAGCGGTGTGTGGCCTAATATGCAAAAAGCCCTGGGTGTTGACAACAAACAAGGTAAAGAGAATAAGAAGCAAAAGGTGGGTGTGGCTGGATGACTACACTTCTGGTAACATGGGGGTGTGGCCTAATATGCAAATGAACTGTGCTGTCAGGCGTGTGGCCTAATATGCTAATGAGTTCCTGCTGTTCGGTATGTCCTATTATGCTAATGAGTTCCTGCTGGGCTTTTTCTACAAAAAAAGCCCTGGTTATCAAGGAGTTACATTATTCCATATTTGATGGTTACGCCCCCAAATCAAGCCTTTTGTTATAATATTTTCAAAGTCATGAAAAATATATTAGGTTATAAGCTTCCATATGATCCAAGAATAGGTTTATTGGGATATTTCCCTTAGGAAGTACAGATAAGGCATATGACTCAGTGGCACCCAGAATATTAGTAGCCCTGAACTGGACAAAGAAATCTTTTCCACAAGTTGTATTGGAATAGTATTAAAGTGAATGACTGAGTTAGAACACAAATTTTACACTTTGTATATAAATAACTACACAAGGTGAGAATAGAATAGTTATTGTGTATAGTATAGGTACAACAATAGTAATAGTTCTAATAGTGAGTATATTGGCAATTTTGTTTGAACAAAACAGACATTTATGCATTTAAATATCATAATATAATAGTTCCATTTGCTAACAAACTTATGATTGATTCATTTTATGTGTTTTAAGTAGTAAAATAAGTTTATATTTTACAAGAAAGTAAACATTGCATGTTTTTCCATCCCCCCCCCCAAAAAAAATAGGGGGAAATGCTATTTTCTCCACATAGCTTCAGATTTTCAGATCATTTTCCGCCATAGTTGTTGATTATGGCCACTTATACAACCTTGCTAGGTTTGAAACAGCCAAGACACAGACTATGTTTTGTCTCTTACAGTTTGTTGACAAGGCAGTCTAGAATCTAAACATAGCGAGTTTGCTATATCTAATGAAGATGATTTTACACTAACTCACATAGTTGATCTTTCCATCAACCCTGCCCTCTCCACCAATAAATATATGTAGATACATACACACAAACACATCTTGCTTTACAGCACTGGTAGTCTGACTTTACTCTTTCATGCACTGCAATTTTTTTTTTACTAGAGTGTCTGTGGTCTGTCAATATGTTTTAAATGTTTGAAACAAAAGTACATGCATAATCAGATTTTTTTAACAGTGAATGAATACCTAATTTATGTTAAGTGAATTTAAATATGCATACTAGCCTAAGAACATGAGTCTAAAAACATGAGATTAAGAATTGCTTTACTGGATCTGCCTGGTCCAACAGTTTTGACAAAAAATCCCAAGAAGGAGCAGGTATTCGTTATCCCACTGCAAACTGGCTAATGATATATTAGTAGACTGTGGTCTGCATTGCTCTCAGACCCTAATTCGTCATCCATTCGCACACTTGTGGGGAATCTATATGGGAACAATCAAATATGGAATAATTGTTGATGCCATCAATTCGTACAATTCTTATTTATTGATATTTTTATTGATGTTCAATGCTTGGTTTGAAGTTTTAGAAGTTGGATTATGTATTCATTAATTGTTGTAGTCCACCCTGAGCCTGCTTGCAGGGTAGGGCAGGGAAGGAGTCCAAATAAATACGTAAGTAAATAATACCCCAAAATTAAGACACCAGACAAATTGCATGTGTTAAATTTGTTGTTGTTGTTATCATCAAGTCACATCTGATTTATGATGACCCCATAGGGTTTTCAAGGCAAGACATGTTCAGAAGTGGTTTGATATTGTCATGGCCCTGGTATTCCCTGGTGTTCTCCCTTTCAAATACTAGCCAGGGCCTGGTTAGTTTCCAAGATCTGATGAGATTAGGCTAGGCTAGGCTATCCAGGTCAGGGTTTGGGTTAAATTAGGGTTCATTAATTACAATGTGAACTATGCATTCAGTTCACTCCCCATACTATCCAGGCTCCCTAGGAAGCTGCCCACTGGGATTGCCAGCATTTGAGCAACCCACAAGCCATGCCTACGTTTCCTGGCCTGCACTATACTCGTGCTGAGAGATGTTGCCATCAACTCCACCCCCACCCACCCCAGGCCATATAAAAGTTCAAACACCATAGATAGCACTAAGGGACTAACCCCTCATCAGTTCTCTGGGACAGCACTGCCATCGGTGGCTGATTTGGGTGCTTTCCTTTATCTGAGGTTGCAATTCCCCCACTGGGAGCAGGGAATCCCCCACCCCTAGGCCCTGTCCCCTGCTGCTGATCAGCAGGTTGTCGTGGGGGAGACACACACACAGGGGAGGCAACATGGTAATGTCACTTCCAGCGTGCACCTCTAGTGATGTCATCATATCACCAGCAATGTGGAGACATGCTGGTATTTGGACAGAAGACGGTAAAAAAGGCTTCTACCAGACAGTTTTTGCCCAAACACCAGAACATACCCACATCCCTGGCAACCTGATGACATAACTTCTGACATGCACTGGATGTGATATTGACGCATTCCCAGATGCCAGGGTGATGTTGCTGAGATGCTAGCGTAGGCCTTCCCTGCTGCCAGTGTTCCCTCAGCCCCCCCACTGTTTGCCAGACTTGGCAATCCTACCTCCATCCTTGGATGCCACACAGTACTTGCCAGTTTAATTATTAAGCACCTCATCCACACAAGTCCTGCCAACCCCAATTGGGGCCTTACCAACCCTTCAGGGCCAAACTACACATCACCTGTGACAATAATGTCACAGGTAATGTGTAATTTGGCTCCAAGTCAGATTCTTTCTCAACAAGATTAGGTTCATACAAAATGAAGCTAGTTCAAATGGATTCAGCTAAAAGTTGAAGCTGAGGCCAGTGTTGTTACTGGCTTCATTGGCATTTAGCTGGGGGCCTAAGGAGGGGTGAGGTTTTGAATGTCCTTGTCACTCCTTCTTATAATCACATGAATGCCATTACTTGGCTCACCTGTGAAATGCAGCATTTAATCCTTTCTCTTTCCAGCTCTCATCCAGACCTGTCATTGGACTCTGAAGCTAGCTTCTTTTCCCTGCTTTCAGCTCTGTTTCCACTGTTTTCCAAAACTGACTTCAAATCCAGCGAATTCTCTTCTCTTTTCTTTATACCTGCCTAGAAAAATTCAGGACAGCTTTATAACAAATCAAGATTACTGCAAAAAGCAGAGCTCTACAAAGACAGCACAGGATTCTCAATAAAAAGGCCAGGCAGAACTGATTGTTTAAGCAAAGGTCTTGGCTTCATGTAGTAAGCCATTGGCGTGTGAAGCTTTCACCTTTTCTAAAGCCAAAGTTTCCGTTCAGTGCCAGGGATTGCAAAGACCGTTGTTCCAAAACAACTTTTTTCCACTGCACTAAAAGTTCTCTTTTAGACTAATGTTATTAAAATTAAGAAAAGTATTTGCAACTGCTTAAACTTTTTAAAAGTGTATAACTATGTACAACAATTGGGTTTGTTTTTGGAAGAGATGTTACATTTACTTTTTGAGTAGATTAACTCAAAACAGACGTCAAAAGGAATTGTACAGAAGAATTCCTCTTTATTCATCATATAAAGAATTCCTCTTTATTCATCATATAAAGATTAGTCACCGTGGAGATCTCTGGGCAAAGGGATAAAATAGGGAAAGGTAAAAGAACTGTTTGATGTAGACATTTGATGAGAAGCATCACATATGGAAATATTGCAGCAAAAGGATACAAACAGCACATTCTCCTATAATGTGTATTGATTACTCTCTCATAATGCATGCATTTACATAACAGAGAAACAAAGAGAAACACTGAGCTTCTAAAATGATTATTTGTTTGTTTAAATCAATCCTTGTAGTGTATGATCTGTTTCTGACTAAACTGCATTTCAGAAACCACACTGGAGACAATCCAAATGCAATCAAGCTTTGGAAGAGCTTAGCAGGAATCTTTACATGACATGTAATGTAGAATCAAATGACTGGAAGGGAGCTGAGGATCACTATGACAGACTTTTCTTGACCCAAACTATCCTAATGATTATCTCATGTCAGGGGGAGCACAGTGCACTCCAAGCACAGCATTAGTGTGGTCTAGTAGGTAACCCAGAAAACCTGGTTATAAGTCCCTCCTTTATATGGGATTCATTGTCTAATACGTCAGTTTGTGAACTTGTCTTCTCCTCTACAATATGGGAACATAAGGTGACCTCTCACCACCCCAGCAACAAGGTTGTTCTGCATGTAATCCTAATCAAGACTGTAAAGCACTTGGCAATTTCAGTACTAACAGGTTTGAACAACGCATACTATGCCCAGAAATGCCTGCAGGACAATGATGCAACTTGGAGAAATATATCCAGATGGCATCACCTAGCAACACCCTCTGCAGAGGTCCATTCCTTGGTTTGCTCATGTTGCTGCTTATGGGTCTGCCACATTTTCTTGTAAATTGCTAGTAAGCCAAGCGTGATATTTACATACAGAGAATTGGCTCCGTGTTTAATTCTATTCCAAATACCAGCTGGTATTATGGTGGATAAATTCCTGAGTCAATCGCAGCTCCTATCTTTATCTCTGTCTTCTTTCTCTGATGATCCTTTCCCCTGGGAGACTATTTTCTACACATGCTGCTTGTAGAAAGAAAGAAAGAAAGAAAGAAAGAAAGAAAGAAAGAAAGAAAGAAAGAAAGAAAGA